AGAAAGAGAGAATGGTGGCAACCATTCTACTCCTCACAATTATGTGAAAGAAGGAATTGCTTTTTGCATGACAGATCTCGTGTACTTAGAATTATGACTTGAGCAGATGTTTCAAATCATTGTACTCCTCACAATTTTGTTACTAGATCTCGGTTGCTCCTTTGTGTGGGGACATCCTCCAGAGAGCTTAACCACATAGCTAAAAAATATTAGATAAGGTTACTAGTTGTTTATCTTTCTTTTAACCTTACATATCTCATATCTTCTTGAAGTGACTAATGAAAAACAATAACCAGATGTAAGAGTCTAAGAGACTGCATGAGTCTTCCCTGAAAATAATCATAATGCATATAGATTACAATATATTTTCAAGTTGGAGCCTATAAATATGAAGGAACCTGAATATTATTTACATGATGTATCTTGCGCATTTGGAGAATTAGCAAACGGCTCTGTTTATAGCATGAGGGTACTGGCTACCCCTTCTCTAGGTTAGTCAAAAACAAATCAGCTAGTTTGGTGGTTCCACAAGAAGATTCCTCTACAAATCCAGTCTAGTTTGAATAGTCTAAACTATCCGGGGATCAGACAATTTGACCAAAGAACATATGGCAGAATTCAAGTCCAAACCACCGAAGAACTTGACTGTTTCAGGCTTTCAGCTGGGATGGTATGGGTCAATCTTGCGACTCGCACGGCCTAGGACCCATAAGACACTACAGAAACACTTTCTGTACATGTACTTACGGTTTGTGTATCTATAGTTTTTGCCTACTTTACTTGTTAAGTGTACATGCATTAGCTCCTAATATAACTTTATAAAACTTCATGGCTTAAGTTGTCAGAGTAAAATTATGAAACACATAAGCTTCCTAACTACTGGTAGTAGCTTATTGGTTACTTCACCAGGAAAGAATTCTTAGATGGAACAAAATTAGGGCTGAGCATGGTTCAGTCCAAACCGAAAAAACCGACCGAACCGACCCGAACCGACCCGAAAAAATCGGTTTTATGAGTAGGGCGGTTCGGGTCGGTTTGAAAACTTTTCAACCCGAACCGACCCGAACCGACCGAATATAGTGCAATACTACCCATTCTGATCTCAAACCTACCCAACCCGTCCCCAAAGAGTCAAAGACTCAAACCCTAAACTCATTTTCTGAATCATTATGGGTTGAAAATAATATCATTATATCAGTGTTTAATGCTTCATAATCTCCTACTTTGTTGATATCTTTTTTTCTTTAACACAGTTCGTTGTTTGATAAGAAGTTTGATGAAGTTAGAACCGAACAAACCGAACCGAACCGCACCGAACCGACTTGCAACAGTTCGGTTCGGTTTTGAATTATAGACGGTTCGGTTCGGTTGTTCAAATTTTGGTAAAAACCGAACCGAACCGACCGTTGCACACCCCTAAACAAAATAGATCTTATTTTATCATTTTCGTGCACAAATGCAGGAGTCGTGCATAGCTCCTTTGATGGTTTAATGGTGCTTTCCATTAGCCAAATAGTTGTTTGTCTTTCAAGCAATATAAGGTACAACCTAAGTCATACTAAGGTCAAAATACAAATATAGTTTATTTTGTCAGAAATTAAGGTAGTTTTACTTCAAACCTCTAAGAAAACAAAACTTCCATGCTATGCCAAGTACACGTAAGTGGCAGTGTGGCACTTTCCCATAGCCATTCAGCTATCCATCTATTATCTTACTAGACTCTTGAGAACCAAATGAGATATCTCATCATGATTTAACTAAAGTCACTTAACATAGAAGATTATCTATCGACAAATTTTACGCCACATTACTACTTACTTCATTTCTCGCTGTTGTAACCAAGTCCATGCTCCAAACAAATAGCCTCTGAACAATCCTTTTTCCCCCAGATGGTAACCTGATCATGAATAGGAAACCTACAATCTTCACTAGATAATCCCCAAACTGGGAATCATTGACCTCAATATTTATTAAGAACTACTTTTCTGCAGATTCATGAAAGAGATTCCAACAAACATAGTGATTATTTTCGCAAAGTATATCTTCGCTAAATGAGTCAATAACCCCCAAAAACTACCATAAAATCCAAGCACTAAAAATACTAAAAAATTCAAGCCCTAGCTCCAGCTTTATCCATAACCTTGTGCTCAAACTCGCCTCTTTTCTAGAATTAAAACATCAGCATCCAAATGATCAATTGCAGCTTATCTCTTCTGACTCAACATTTACCCTAACTAATCACAACTCAAATCACGTATTCAAGTTCCCCGTCCACAAGACAACAACAGAAATAAAGGAACTCTTTCCTGTAGAATTCAATAGATAAAAAATTCCCCACGAATAGAGATATATTCTCCGAAACAAAAAAATATATCTGCACTAAATGAGCTGATATCCGCAATAAAATTACCATAAAATAAAGAAAGCTAAAAAAACACACCCTAACTACAGATTTACACATTTCTAGAGTCAAATTCTCAGCATCGAGGTAATCAATCACTGCTAATATCCGCTAACTCAAATCATTTTCCCTAACCAAACTCAAATCGCATATTCAACTTCAACTTACCCCAATCCTCAAATAAAAAACAAATTTAAGCAGAAAAGCTCAGAATCGAGCAAGAGGTTACAATAGATTATCAGGTCACTGAAAAAACCAAGTTGATCTTCGAGCCTTCAAGATCTTCGATCGAAGATTTGAATAATTTTGCCTCCTACCCTCTCTAAAACCTCTCTCTTCTATATAAGCACATTATTATATTTTGATAGTTGTCATGAAAAAATTCCTATGAATATGTCATGACAACTACCAGAATGTATTAAAGTGCTACTTTTTATGATTTAGGATATTAAAATGCCACTTCCTTATAGTTTAGGGTACTAAAGTGCTACTTTTTAACAATTTAAAATATTTCAATGTGAAGGTGGTGAAACAATCGAGTATTTAAGTGCTAATTTTTTAAAACATAAGATATAAAAGTGCTATATTTTTACAACTTACAGTATTAAAGTGCTACTTTTTACAACTTAGAGTATTTAAGTGTAAATGTGGTGAAACAATAGGGTATTTAATTGTCATTTGGCCAAAAAAATTTGTAAAGGTGAGGAGAAAACGGATATGACATTCTAAAGGGTCCCTAACTTTTGCCCTTTTTCTAACAAGGAAAAATATCACTTAAATTCCTTCTAGTTTCACTCTCTTAGCACTTGTATACTCTCAATTGTATTCAATAGCATTTACATACCCTGAGTTAATTTTATATTTTAAGTTAACCTTTTCATGGTAACTCCAAATAAATTTTTCAGACATAATTTTTAAAGTATTATACTCTACTATAGCTTTAACTTAGAACTTTCTTTAAAATAATGAATTATTTTTATGCTTAACTTAGAGTAGATGTTAATTTATCAATTCCTTTTGATCTAAATATGCTAGTAATGCTTGACGAAATCAATCAAATAACCCATATGTACAATGGGTGATAATGAGCCATTAGTGGAGAATTAATGAGAAATTATGAGATTTTAAATTAGGACAATGAATGATCTTAATCTGTAGTTAATGGGAAAACATTTAGGTTGTTTTTTGGGGTAGAGATATGCAAAGAATAGCCTATACAAAGAGTGTTATTCTTTGGTTAAATGAACATTTAAATTGAGAAACAATACTCCATATACTGGAGCCCCAAAAATCTTACCCTCTTCCTGCATCCGAAAAATAAATGCTGAGATTTATATTAAAAAAGAAAAAATTTAAGAGTGCGAAAAATGGGCATTAATAAAAATCTTGAATTATTAGTGATTCTATCTTAATAAGCCTAAGTTGATTGAGCCATAAAGCCTATGAAGTATCTTTATACTTAGTGACATACCTAACTGGGTTGGGATCCATTGGCCAAAGCTCGCTACACTGTCACTTAGAAAAAATCTGATTAAGTAAAAAAAAGTTACAAGGAATAAAAAAATTTATATAAAAAATTTATATAATATGGATCAAGAGACATGGGCTGTGCCTTTAACATATCTCCAAGAAACGGCTCGTGATTGAATAATTAATTAATGTTTCCTCAGAAAGCCCGAAAATCCTGATAATTTTATGGAAAATACCCTCATCCTCAACCCCATGTATCCTAGTTCCTCTTCAAACTTTGATCAAATTAAGACTTCATGGGATCTTCTTTCGATTAGCAGCGCCTCTAGACATGAGTCGTTGTTCTGGAGCACCAACTATTCTTCATTGTTCGAGCTCAATCTAATCAATGCAACCTCTACTTTAGACTCATTTGGCACTACCAAAGTGACCTGTATCTTAAGCTTCTCATGAAAGTTCTTGTTTTTGTCCATTGGAAATCGTTAACAGTATCGACTCTTAAATCTAAATCGGTAATTCACGATCTTGTTAGCATGAATTTAGAAACCTACATGTGTGAGAATGTTAGTCTACCTACTTGGATTAACATAATTAATCAAGTTTTAGGGTTCACTATAACCTTTAGGATGAAATCCTATTGTACTAATGGTTCCAAACCCTATTTTAAAGTTAATCCAAGTGACTAAACCTATTACAGACACAATATATTTACCTCTTTATTTAAATTTCGGCAGCCATGAGTGGAGAGGAAACTTTGCAAATAAACCACTCTCTTCTCATTATTACATCTCTCCATTCGCATGGTATATATATGCATGCACTACACACTCCTCTCATTTTCTCTCATTTCAACAACTCCATCATCCCTCGCCTCTTCCCTCACAGATGGCCGGCAATTGGGGTGTGCAGATGGTCAGTCGGTTCGGTTTTTATCAAATTTAGAACGACCGAACCGAACCACCCATTATTCAAAACCGAACCGAACCGTTGCAAGTCGGTTCAGAGCGGTGCGGTTCAGTTTGTTCGGTTCTAACTTCATCAAACTTTCAATAAAACCTGAATTTGCTAAAAATGATCACATACAATTCAGCGAGAGGAAAAGTACCACCGAGAAAATGCAAATGCATACTAGTTCTGTTCTGCATCAACTTCAGTTCCGCTTCCCTGTGCAGCAGCAGCCATGGCTATAGCCTCTCAAGGTGGCGGGTGATCAAATCTGCATGTAACTCCATACTTGCAGGTGCCTGTCTTCATGTAAAAAATGGGCATGCAACTGAACCCTGCAGTAACAAGCAAACCGCTCAATATCCCAGAATAATGCACAGCCCAAGCTTTTAAATCAGATGCGTTAAATTAGAATCTTGATCAAATGAAAAGGGTTACCCAGATTTTGTCTGGCTGATATGACAATAAATAAACATGACCATCTCATACCTGTTCAGGCATGGGTCAAGCACAAATTCAATGCATTTGTGGTAATAGGCTATAATACTTCCTCATAAAAATTCGTGCAAGAGAACAAAGGTTATATACCTCAATAATCGACACCCATCTACAGCATTTCGAAAGTAAGGATCAATACCAAATAGAAACAATTATTACCTGTGTTTGAGGCAGTTTGGCTGGCGGACAGGGAGTGAGCGGGAGTTTGGCTGGCGGCTGGCGCTGCTGAAGATTTGGCTGGCGCGGAAGGCGGAAATGGAGTCTGGAGACTGGCGGAGGGTGGGCGGGAAATGGCGCTGGGACAGTGGAGTGAGAGAGGGGAAGAGCGCGGCCTGGAATTTTAGGTTGTTGATACCTGAGGGAACGACCGAACGAACGGGTCGGGTTTGAGGGTTAATGGCTACGTAATTTAGACCCTGTTTGGATCGAGGGTAATGGGGGTGAGGGGAAGGGATGGCAACTTTTAACATTGTTTGGGAAGTAAATATAATAAGCTAATAGGGGTGAGGGGAGTTGAAAGGAGGTGAGAAAATACCATGATTTTTTTCCCCTCAATTTGGGGTGTAATGGGGGTGAAGGTAAAGAGGGGGAATACAACAAATATAGAGAGACATATTTACCCCTAGTTAAGATCAAAATCCAACGGCTAAAATTTGCTCATAGAAACCCCACATTATAAACTCTCGTTGCAAGCCCCTCTGCCATTTCTTCTTCCTCCGCGTCTCATCTCGCCTCCGCGTCTTCTCTCCTCCGCGTCTTGTCTCGCCTCAATCTCTCGCCCAGTTTGAGCAAGGGTTTTGATTTTTCAAGGTAAGATTTTCTCTCATGTTACTGAACCTGCAGGACTTGGCCTTGGATAACTCAACGAAATTGAAGAAATGAGTGAAAGCGGTTGAAGCTTTTGTTCTTCCTCCCTTCTTTGAAGGGGTCTTATGTCAACTGTGGAGAGAATATGAGCATAAATAGCTAATTTGTGGAAAAAAAGGTTTTATTTTATTTCTCTGTAATGTTTCATTGGAACATTTTTCACGGGGATGTTGGTTAATGAGGTTGATGCTGGATAGTATTAATAAACGCAATTTGTTTTTTAGTTTTTGTTGATGAATTTACCTTGTATCATCCAAACTGAGCTTATTTGATGGAGCAATAAAATTTGTAAAGGACCGTTCAAAATTGGGGATTTTTGCACCTTGAATGACAAGTGTTATAGTAGTTTTGTGTTCGTGTAGGTATTTGAGTTTCATCATTTAGTTGGTCGTTGCTCTGCTAACTGGGTATATTTGCAAAAGAAGAGTGAAAATAAGCTTTGTATTGTTTTGTAGTCTCATCGATGAATATATTGGTTATTATTTTTCATTCCAACTATACTCCAAAATTTTTCATATTTATCTGATTTGTGTTGATTGTGGATATACAATGTGGAAGGAGATAATGACAATAATAATATATAGCAATAGATGCGTATTTGATATTTAATTTCTAACAACAATATAACTTAATAATATGTGAGAGTATTTATGTTAATTTATATACATTCTCTTCCCTTCCCTTCCCGTTATTACACTTTCCAAACGGGGTGAAATAACTTCCCCTCGATTCACCTTACTTGTTTCTCAAACAAGTTTTAGAAATTCCCTTCCCTTCCCTTCCCTTAACTTAACTTCCCCTAGGTTCCCCTAACTTCCCTTCACCCCCTCCAAATCCAAACAAGCCCTTAGTTTCGTCCGGTTCGAGCGGTACGGGCTGAAAAGTTTTCAACCTCACCTGAACCGTCCAGTAAATAAAACTGATCCGAACTGTTAATTTTCGGGTCGGGTGGGTCCGTTTTTTCGGTTTCGGTCGAACCATGCACAGTCCTATTTAGAATGAGCATTTAAATTGAGAAACAATACTCCATATACTGGAGCCCCTAAAATCTCACCCTCTCTTTTCCTGCATCCGAAAAATAAATGTCTGGATTTATATATTAAAAAAAGAAGAAATAATGAGAGTGCGGAAAATAGGCACTAATGAAAATCTTGAATTATTAGTGATTCTATCTCAATAAGTCTAAGTTAGTTGAGTCGTAAAGCATATGAAGTATATTTATACTTAGTGACATACCCAACTGGGTTGGGATCCCTTGGCCAAAGCTCGCTACACGGCCACTTAGAAAAAAAAATATGATAAAGTAGGAAAAAAAGTTACCAAGAAATAAAAGAATATATATATAAATATTTATATAATATGGATCAAGAGACGTGGGTTGTGCCTTTAACATATCTCCAAGAAAAGGCTCTTGTCTCCAAGAAAAGGCTCTTGTGACTGAATAATTAATATACTTTTCCTCAGAAAGCCCGAAAATCCTGATAATTTTACGGAAAAGACCCTCATCCTCAACCCCATGTATCCTAGTTCCTCTTCAAACTTTGACCAAACTGAGACTTCATGGGGTCTTCTTTCGATTAGCAGCGCCTCTAGCCATGAGTCGCTGTTCTGGAGCACCAACTATTCTCCATTGTTCGAGCTCAATCTTGTAGGCGGCAAAAAATGCTGAGAGATATCCGAATACAGCTCAAAAAGGTAGAAGAACACAAGTATGGGCTGTCTCGCACGCGAGACAGTCTTTACTGTCTCGCAGGCGAGACAGTATTCTCTGTCTCGCCAAGCCGAGACAGTGTTCTCGTTCTCGCCGGGCGAGACCAGCATTCTCTGTTCCGCTCGCGACGGACCAGTCATTCTCTGTCTCTCCACGACGACAAGTTTTCGCCAAAAGTCAAGAAGTTGTTTTATTAAAACCGCCGACATCGTGGCCCACCAAAACTTGTTCAAGAACGTGGGGGAAAAACGTCGTGGAAATCCCGTGGATAAACTGCCCAAAATAAAACGGAGTTTGAAAAGCATGGGGAAGACAGTTAAAAAAACGAAAATGCCTGCACGATTACTTGTTTCGAGACAAGCTTTACTGTCTCACAGGCCGAGGACAGCAAACACTGTCTCGCCCCGCCGAGACAGTACCAAACCACTTGGCTCGCAGCCGGGACAGGCCAAATCGTCTCCGCGAGCCTGTTTTTCCGCCAAAACTGTTCCTAGGGCTACTAAATAACCCCCGAAGACCCATTTTTTTGAGGAGGGCTGATCAGAGAGGCATCCACAGGGTAATCAGAGAGAGCATCCAAGGGCTGATTAGAGAGCATCCAACAGGGCTGATTTCAGAGAGAGAGGGCAGAGTACTCGAAGCTTTCTGTAACTCATTTGATATTCAGGCTAGAACTTGATTTCAAGAAGGACGACATCTTACCTTGATAAGAATATCGTTTCAAAGTTCTCAGCTTCGATAAACGAAGTCAGACATCACATAAACCCTCCACGATCGATCTAGAATCTGTGGATTTGTGGGGCTGGTCCACGGCTAACGCCACCCCCGACCACTAGGCAAGATCCCACGGCAAGCAGTATCCAGTGAACAACGATCTGGACCTGCGTTTTGCTTTCTTCAAAGAGGTTGTTAAAAATTTTCATATTTGGTTGCGTGTAATAAAAGTCTTAATAGCAAAAAAAGACATTTCTGTGAATTTGTTGTAATTTCGACGGAAACGATATAATGAATTCCACAGCAAAACCAACTTTTGACGCAAACAAGCTGGCGACCACAGTGGGAGCCAACGGTCTCGCTGCCGAGACCGTCGTGTCGCAGCCGATCAAGATACTGGTTGAGTCCATGGTTGAATACGAATTCGACCAAACCAAGTTTGAGGAATATCTTTCATCATCCTCTTCAAGATCTTCATTGTCTCGCAAGTACAAGAGGATCTTACAATTGAGGAAAACTTACATGCCAAAGAAGGCACAAAATGAAGACTCTCGCCTGATTGTTGCTGAGGATTTTACTCGCAACACCCCTGCTCACAATGACTCTTATCTAATTAAAGAGTCATTAAATCAAAGCCCACCGGTATTGACGAAAAGAGCTCGTCAGAGACAACGCCAACGCCGCGCTCGTCAAATAGCTAAGGCCTTGGAACAAACCGACGGAGTTCGTTATCATGCGGACTTAGAGTCGAGGAGGCATCGAGTGGTTCAGTTGTCTCAACGACCAATCATTCATGTCTCTGCTAAACTCAACAAAGACGAGAAAGGAGGAAGGAAACGGTGACCAAAGAACCACCGAAACTCCGCCAAGTTTGGATTCCAAAGTCTGGACTTATGCAAAATCAGCATTCGGAGCCCGTTAAGACTCCATACCCGCAAGGGGGTGGTTTTAGACGTGCGACTCCCGACATAACCTTGGATCGCTCAAAGACAAAAATAATTTGTCCTGAGAATGCCAACAAGGTTTTACACCCCCAGAAGAAGACGCATTCACCAAATGATATTGTCATATCTGGGAGGTCATGCCAACAGACGATACGATTTTTTGGCAATCATACCGATGAATCGTATTATCAAGTTAGGATCGTGAATAATTTTCGAAAGAGAGTCATTCGAGAAATAAACTCTCGTTGTTCCTGTGCGCGACTCGTTAAAGCAGCATTATCAGAATGTGACTGTTTCAAACGAGAAGTCATCCCACGAAAAGTCTCTGTATTGTCGAAGCCTAAGCCGAGACATTTCCGCAAGAGAAAATCAGCTGCCCAAGATGATGAATTCCCTGAAGTCACCATCAATGTGGCTGATAAAAGAAAGTCTAAGCGGCATTCAAGTGACTCAAATCCCGACTTTCCCCCGAGAGGAAAAGTCAATCCAAGAATTGCTCAAAGGATGTCTCGACTCCAATTAGGAGCCATCAGACGCAGAGATTACAAAAGAATGCAAGAAGGAATGTCCTCGGAGGATGAATTCTCAGACACTTGTTCAGCCATTGCTTCTGATGATACAATGTCTAGCACGGGACAAACCAAAGAAGTGTTCACAATCACTTCTGATCAATTTGCTCAAATGCTTCAAGAAGCTCTATCGAAGCAACGTGAAGAAATTAGAGCTGAGATGAAAACAGAGATGGAGTTAGCTATCCAACAAATGAGAGAATTGCTAACTCAACGGCCTCAACCTCCTGAGTCCAGTCAGCGAGCTGAATCCGCCCGCCACACTCAGAATGTTGTAGATGACAGTGATCCAGAAGTGGATGAAGTCATTATGGCTGATACACTTCCCAATAGCAATAACGCTGGGGGTGGATTAACACATCCTCCCAATAACGATATTGGGGGTGGTTTAATAGCACCTCTCATAGGGGGTGGTCTAACTCATTCTCCTCAACGTCCTTCGAACGAAGACATAGACGATACAAGGAAAATGAAAG